TATTGCTTGGAGGGAGAGTCCCCCTCCCTACAGGAAGCCACGACCACGTGTCACGGGAGGGAAAATGGCCACGGATGCTGTTCGTGACCCGAACTGGTCGTGAACAGAAGCGTTCGTGACCCGAGGTACCACTGTATGTATTTATTCAAAATATCTAAAAAGTACAAAGGGCAAGAAGCCTGGCAGATCCTAGGGCTATTCTGTAGGCATATTGGTGTCTACAGGTATCAAGCTGCTTGCCTTTGCTCAATGATGTACCAATCAATTCATTTTTTCGACTTTCTCCCTGCAACATGTTGCTGTGATGCTTGTTGCCTTAAACTTCACTGCTCAGCTTAGAATGGATTCCTTTTGTGTAAAACCTCCATGAAGCCACTGAAGCCTCTAATCTTGCTTCCTTAACCTGGTGCAAAGGCCATGGTGAGGTGGAAAATCTCAACACATTAGGAAGGCACCACACTGGGGACAATTATTTAACCCAATTTGCAACTGATTTGTATCAGCTGGTTTGTCTGTTTCCAAAATCTATTAAATATTTGATAAAAAAAAATAATTGTAATATCTAGCAACTATTTAGCAACAAAGATTACAAAGAGTTTCAAAAATTATCTGATGGACAATCTAGATGTGTGACATGTAATTTCCTGATTTTCTATTAAAACTAAAACTTTGAGGAACTACTACGATGGGCCAAAGGCAATGTTCTTCCAGTGAACAGAGAGCTATTAACTGAGAGTAGAACTAATATTTCTTTTATTAAATCTACAGATTACTAAAAAGTTGGTTCTTCAGGATAATGAAATCACAGTGATTCCTTTAGGAACCTTTCTGTCCATTCCATACCTCACTCACTTGAAATTTCAGAGATGCAAGATAAAAAGCATTGAGGAAGGGGCTTTCAGGGGATTAGGACAGTTAGTCTATCTTAATCTGGCTTCCAACTATATAGCCTTCATCTATCAAGAATCCTTAGATGGCATCTTCCCTCTGTCACCTTATTTTAGAAAATAATCATATTGAAGAAATAAAGCCAGAAGTTTTTGGACAACTTGGATTCCTTAGTTTATTGAATTTGGCCAAGAACTCCCTGGTTTACTTGCCAGATATGGTTTTCCAGGGTCTTCAGATGATCAGGTGGATCAATTTGTCCCATAATTCACTTAATGTGTTTGCCAACAAAGCTTTTGGTGGATTACCAACACTCAGAAAGCTAAGTCTACATCATAATCATGAATTGCAGTTCTTTCCCACTGAGGCACTGTCTAGACTATCTGGCATAAACCAACTGGATTTAGGACTCAATCCCATCACTTACATTGGTGAGGAGGCCATTGGAATGGCTTATCTCAAACAGCTTTACTTGGACAACATGGCCCTTCAGGAGCCCCTTACTCCATACTCTTGACTTGCACAACAACCAGCTGTTGGTGCTGCAGCCCCTGAGAGAAATGGTCCATCTTAAAAAAATAAACTTGACAACCCTCTGCTTTGTACTTGTCACAAGTGTCCCCTCAAAGAGTGGGCTGACAAGCCAAAAATACAACATTTACATAGTATGTGCTGGTCCTCTTGCCTTCAGGGGAGAGCACTTGGAATCCTTGCAGGCAACAGGTATGAAATGTAAACATCAGACTTTGGAAGGGGAGCTGCCTCCGACAATGGTCAGCAGAAAACCAGAGGAGGGTGCTATAAAATGCCCTAAAGAATGTACCTGTTCATTAGATTACCAGCATGGAAAGTGTGATAACAAAGATCTCTTGAGTATTCCCAAAGGATTTTCTAGCAACACTCAACTTCTGGACTTACAATGAGTTCCATTCCATACCAGATGGTTCCTTCCTTGGCTTAAAAAACCTGACCTCGTTTCACCTGCAGAACTATAAGATTAAAGGGCTGCAGCCTGGTGCTTTCCAGGACCTAAAAACACTAATCTATCTTTATCTGTCTAATAATGATATATGTTCCATTGATGCTGATGTTTTCAGAGACATCACCCAACTTGCTTATCTTTTCTGGATCACAACAAATTCACTCAAATGCCCAAGGATGCCTTCAGCTACTTGCCCTCTTTGCCTTCCACTTGTAACACAATTCAATCAGTCAGCTGTCAGATAATGCTCTGGCTGGGATGAAGAAACTACACTGTCTTAACAGGAAATCATATTATACACCTGTCTCCTAGGGCTGTGAGACAGGCCAAAATGCTAGAGAAACTGCATCTAGATGAGAATTCTTTGCACGAAATTCTCACCAAGGCCCTTAGAGGCCTCCCTATACTCAATGAACTGAAATTGTCTAAGAATCCTATAAAATACTTTGGGAATGGTGCCTTCCAATTGCAAGATCCCTGCAGCACCTGTATCTGGATAACATAGGCCTTGAACAAGTAAGTTAGAGATTGGGGAGCTGGAGAGTAAAGTTGGTCTTCCATTGCCATAATCATCACAAGAATATTTCCTTGCAGCTATAGGAATAGTGTAATGTTTTATTTAATGTTATGTATTAATTTAAAAACTCAGATTATTCAAATTATTTTATGTGGTATTGATAATTAGCCATTAGACCGTAATTTCTCCAAAGTACAACTTCACCAATATGGGGGTAAAATACAAAAAAGGGATACATTTAATTAGAACTTCCTGTATAGGAATACAGGAAGTTAAACAATCAGCCTACAGTACAGAAATTGGCAATATTTCGTGGAGTTTCAGATTAGAGTATTTTCCTTATCTGGAGATTGCATGGAACGATCCTATTCACTGGATCTTGAAAGCTGCTGTTATATTTGTAATAGTTATAGGATGAAAAATACTCAGTGAGTTTGCCATTTCCAAATGTGCTGTAGAACAAAGGAAAGATGTCGACCCTTTGAAAGACCTTTTTACTATGCAGCTGATAATGAATCATCACCTCTGCTTTGTATGTGAAAAGTTACACATTCAATTCTTTGCATTTCCATCCATCTTGCTGCTGGTCATCTGCCTCTTTCCTCCCACACTTCCCAGCATTATAGACTTCTCAGAACACTAGGATTTTGCATAATGTATCCAAAATAACAGTAATTTGAGCCTGGTCATTTGTGCTTTGAGTAAGACCTCTGGATTGATGTGTTTATTGTCTTGGCTATTCATGGTATTCTCAGGAGTCTTCTCGAGCATCAAACTTCAAAGCATCAATACTTTTTCTGACTTGCTTCTTCAAAGTCCATTTTTGCTTCCGCTGAGTATCACAGGGAAAACCATTACCTGCATGATTCTGATATTTGAAGATATAGACACTAAATGGCATCTGAGTATCTTTTCCAAGGACTTCGGTGCTATTCTACCAAATGCTAATCTGTAGCATCTTTCTTGTCTGCTGGTTCCTTTCTTATTAATAGCTGATCCTAAAAATCAAATGCTATCCACACTTCAAATGTTAAATTGTTCATTCTAAATGTGGCTTAGAATTCAAAAGCTGGCTTGCTGTACTGGTTCTCATTAGTTTGGTCTTCTTTATATTTAAACTTAGTCCCATTTTTCACTGTGCTCCTTGACTTTAATTACTAGAGCTTGCAGATCATTTGAATTTCCAGCTATCAGAGTAGTGTCATCAGTATAGTACAGATCACTGAAGTTTCTTCCTCCACTTTTAAAACCACGCTCATCTTCTTCCAATCCAGCTTCCCTCAATATAGATTCAGCATATAGACTGAAAAAATAAGGGGAGGGTATACAGCCTTGACTCACTCTTGTCATGTTTTTCTAGTAGTGGCCATCTCTCTGTCTTGATTTATAATCCAAAAAATAAGAACCCCCCCCCAGCTTTAACTATTTTATCGCGCTTTTTTGTGGCTCTTGAATCTCACACTTTCATGATGATCCCTTAAAGCCTCATGCTTCTACTCTTATATAGTCTCTGTACTTTTACAATGATCCTTATCCTTTTTTGTTTAAGAAAGTCCACCAGTCATTTTCCTTGGTGTGCCTAAACAAAACATTTTTCTATGAAGGTATGTGCTGTTTATTTAATTATTTCCCAGGAATTTAAAATAAAGTCCAGAAAATTCCCCTGGACCCTTTATCCATTTAAAATGTGTGTAATCCAAATTTTTACTATGCTTTTTGCTACAAGTTGATTTTTATAATTTTCCTCTTCTTTTTCTGTTAAACATGCTATGAGCTGTAGGAACACTGAGGGGTGGTCCAATTGAAATGCCACTCTGAAGATCTCTTTAGCATTTAATTAATTGTAATCCAAAGTGACTTAGAAAGTGGGGTTTAGATGGACCCAGTGTCCTTTAACAGGGTCCGCTGAGGCTACAAGTGTGATCTTCCTTCCTCAGGTCCCGGCGCTCTGCAGGTTTCCTCAGGTGGAGCAGCTATCCAGAGCACATATGGGCAATCTCTTCAGCTTCTCCTTTCTCTGGAGAAGCTCTGCAAAACCTGGTGCCTTGCCTGATCGCGATTCCAGCCTTGCCTGATCGTGATTCCAGCCTTGGCATCATTTCCATGCTTTCAGAGACACATCAATCCGCCATTTTCCCCATCCGGAAATCAGGTCCCTTGTATCTGACTGTTGCCTTGGTAACAGCTCTTCTTCCTTTCCTTCAAGACCATTCCCTCTGCCCTCTACAGCAATTCACAAAATAAAAAAACAACATAAAAACAAAAGATGCAATAAAGATACAATAAAATTATTCCAAAAAGAAGTACAAAATAGTTACAAGATGGCTTTCCAGACAAAAATATCAATGCACATAGTGACTTATTTTTGGTATTTTTTGGCTTTCTCAGTTATCCAGCACACAACAGCAATAATGTGTCTCATTTCTTAATCTTTTCCAAGGTCAGCTTGAACACTAACATCTCCCTTTTGATGTAGGGCTCTAATCTCCATTGGATGATCCTAAACATAGTTTGGTAGCATGTGAAATTAAGGATATTGTATGATAGTGTGCACACTTTGGTAAGTCTCCTTTCTTTGGTATTGTAAACTGATCTTTTCCAATACATTGGCCACTGTATCATTCTCCAGATTTGCTGGCACAGTACAATTAGAATCTTTACTGATTCTTTTTCTGTTGCTTCCCATATTTCTGTAGACATTCCATCAGTTCCTGTAGCCTTCTGACTTGGCAATGATCGGAGTGCTAATCTAACTTCATCTTCTAGTTCTAAAGATTCCTGTAAGTAGGAAATATCTTCTAGGGTGTCTTGGATATATACATCTCCACTCTACAGAATTTCAGTATATTCCTTCCATCTTTGTTTGAGCTTTTCTGAGTTAGTTATTATCTGTTAATTTGCATTCTTTAGCATACCAGAGGGTTCAAACATCCTTCTGACCTTTTGGAAAACTTTCCTTGTTTTTTTGTGTGTTTCCATTTTCGATGTCTTTACAGATATTGTTGCAATACTCCCTCTTGTCTCTTTTAACAATTCTCTGAAACTCTTAAGTTCCTTTCTGAGGTTTTTATTTTTCTTGGCTTTGGCTTTTTTAAATCTTCTTGGCAATTTTCACCATTTGTACTGACATCCAGTTTGCTTTCTTCTGTTTCTTCATCTTGGCCACATTCATCTTTAACAATTTTAATTTAATTCCATAGTCCCTCTGGTTCTCTATCAATGAGGTTCAGGACTTCAAACCTATTCCCCATGTTCTCCCTGAAAATGGTGGGTATATGCTTAATACCATATTGTGGAAATCAGTTGGTTGCTTTTTCTGATTTAGCTTAACTTGGAATTTGCACATGAGTAGTTTGTGATGTGTTCTACAGTCAGCTCCTAGCCACTTGTTTCTTATAACTGAGCTTTTGCACTTCCTTGTACCAATAATATAGTCAATTTTGTGTATTCCATCTGGTAATGTCCATATATATAGGCATAATTTTTATTGTTGGAAGACTGTTAGCAATTAAGAAATCATTGAATTAGTAGAAATTGATAAGTCCTACTTCATTTTTGTTTCCTAGCCCATGCAGTCCAACTACATTTTTCTTATTATTATTTCCAACTTTGGCATTTGTCCCCAGCCATAAGCAGCACATCTTGCTTGCATGTTCCATCGAACCTGACCATAACTTTTGTCAACCTCCTCTTCTTCTGTATCAATGGTTGGAGCATAAATGTTGATAATCGTCATATTAAAGAGTTGTCCACAAAGTCTAATTGATATTATTCAGTCACTGACTGCATTGTACCCAAGTACTGTCCTTCTATATCTTTCCTGACTATGAAAGCAACACTGCTGCTGCTTTATTTTCATGAACTGAGTAGCATCAGTCAGAAGATCATACTGTCTACTACCATGTCCAATTTCAGTCCATGTCAATTCACTGATGCCTAAGTTGTCAATGTATAGTTGATTCATCTTCCACTCTGTTGAGCCTTCCCATATTAATGCTTCTTACTTTCCATATTTCCACTGTAATTCTGAATTTCCAGCTTCAGATTTTCTTTTCCTGCGTGACAACATCAGCAACTAGGTTAGAATTAGAAGTGCAGCCAGCCTAGTAATAATCAGAAAAGGAGAAAATACAATATTAATTCTTCCATTCCAAAGAAATTGCATCAAAATGTGAAATGCTGTCTTTCACAGTTCTTACAATTACTGGCCTGTAGTTTTTTTTGGATTGTTGGCTACACTTTGAGACAGACAGGATTCCATAGGGCCAGGATATAAACTAAATTTAAATTAATTAAAGATTATTATCAATATGTGTATTTAATAATTTCCTTCTGATATTCTAATATTACAAATTACAACTGAGCATCAACCTTTGGACAAACTGAGGTAGCTGCATCCAAGAATCTGGAGACTGCATGCAGACTTTGAGGTATACTTCCGATATAGGCTAAATATAGTCAGGTCTGTTAAATGTTTTCTCTTCTCCTCCAAGCTTAAGTTTTGTTTAAGTACACAAGAAACTGTTGACTGTTTTGGAGACTAGGAATAGACTAATTTTCTTACAATTATTGGAAGCATGCAATGGGTCAGTAATATGGTTGGGATAACTATAAATTATTTCTGCCGATCTTGAAGTTATCATTGCCAACTTGTGTTGGCAGATTTCTTCTGGTGCCTTTACTGGCTTGGGTCCAAACATCAATAGCCTGAACCTGGAGGAAAACAGAATACACAATTTACCTAATTTACATTGTTTCACTGCTCTGGAGGTAATCAACTTGAATGATGTCCCTTTCTCCTGTGACTGTTGACTTCTCCCATTACACAAGGCATTAATTCCCAGTATTCTGCACAGGGTTCTAAAAGAGCAAATTTGTCCCTTTTCTTATAGGCTGGAATAAGGAAAATATATTAATGTCCACCTATTAGCACTTGTATACTGAATCAGCTAAATGATAATATATATTATTCAAAACTGTATGACAAAAATCACACAAGTGCCTGATGATCAGCCCTCTGTTAAATGGTTAGATTATTTCTCTGGAATCAATCACTTTTTAAAAAGTAATGGTGGAGGAGGGCTGCTTCAAAAAACTTGGAAGAACTGGATTTTACACTTGTAGCTGCACATGATTTGAGAATTGTTTTACGGGAATCTTTCCCAACCTAGCCCAAAGTTGTGTTAGCCTGCAACTTTGAGAATTTCATCTAACCATGCTGTTTAGCAATTTGAGGGAGTTGTAGTCCAGATCATCTGGAGGATAATCCTAAATATTATTTTACCTCTAACAACTTGGTTTATCAGGGAGCTGAGAACAATTCAGTGTTAGGACAGGTCATATGGAAATAATCTTGACAGCATCAACTTGTCTTGTTTACATGGAATTTGAGAAGCTGGACAGGGTAAATAGAGAAAAATGACCACCAGTTTGGCCAATACATGGTGCAGAAAAGAATGGCTCCGTGATAAAGAGAGGTGATCAGTTCCTCCTTGAGGTTAGAATATGTACCTGTTTAAAGGGGATGGTTATAAGAATATTGGAAAATCTTTGTAACTGCAGTTCAGTCTCAGATATTAACTTTCTGGTAAGAAATTGAGAAGGGGATGGCCTCCCAGCTCCAGGTACATTTGGATGACACTGCTTGCCTAGACCCATTTCAATTAGGACTTGGGCCAAGCTATGGCACTAAGACTATTTTCCTCATCTTTTTTTTTTTTATAATATTTTATTGAAGTTTTACATATGTAAAAGCTAATACAAAACTAAAACGATGTACAAACAAAAAAGAAAAAAAAGAAATATTAAGAGAGAGACAAAGAAAGAGGAAGGAGGAAGGAGAAAGAAAGACATATAAAAAATGACTTCCTCCTCCCTCCAAACAAGTATAAGCATTTACAGTAACTTAACACCTTCTCTAATATTCAGAAAACCCCCCTCTTTTTCCCATTTCTCATTCCTAAACAATAACCAAATTATAAAAAAATATTCATCAATCAATCTTAATCAGCAAAAGCATTAAGAGTACCAGTGATAATAAACTATATTTTAAGCTTATACAAATAATCTATTTTGCATTTTAACTTATAACTTTTTCTAATAAGTAAAACGTAAAAGATCTATCCCCATAGGCATAAGGAATACCAATAATGGTAACATGTATATTTTAAACTAAGTCAAATAAATCCCTTTTACATCTGTAAATCGTCATCTTATAATCCTGGTCAGAAAAAAAAAGACTCCAATAATTATATACCTTAGAAACTGAATGAGATTGGTGCAGCTATGTTAGTTATTCAGGTTCTCTGGTGACTTTTGATATCATTGTCCATGATTTATTTTTGATTTCTCTGGCTGAGTTTGGATTTGGGGGCACTATTACACAGTCCTTCTTGTTGGGTCATGTCTAGACATGGCATTGGAGGCCACTGTTTGACATCTAGACTGTTGAACTATAGTGACCCATGGGGTTTAGCCTTTTCCCATATGCTATTTAACATCTACATTAACTGGGGCAAAAACTATGGCTAGACCGTTTCAACAGCAGACGTCCTACTGAAAATGCATAATATATTATGAAGACATAAAATATCACTTCTGCAAAGCAAAGCATGTTTTGTTAATCAAATAAATGATACCCAAATTAAAGTAAGCAATAACATCAGATAGCTTCAGTCTTTTTTTATACATGCAACATATGAGATTTTAAAAATATATACCAGGTTCTATTTCTAAGCTTTTTACAAAGCTTTATATAGCTTTATAAAGAACAACATCAAATAAAGCATCATAGGTATAGCTTTAGCGCAGATAATATGTTCATATTTATTCAATATATAGGACTTTATTTTAAAGGAAATGACTGCAGAAAATTCCTTAAATAGTAGTAGTAGTTTGTGCGCAGAGGATCTTGTGAGGTTGAGATCCTTCCTGGCCAAAATAACATTTTGCTGGGAAATTAGGGGTGAATAGAGCAGTTGCAAATGATTTTAGGACCACGAAGGTGGTGCAAGAACTTTGGAAAGATAGGTTAGCAATGCGTATAGAGTTTTTAGTTATTATATCAATTGTTAATTGACAAGCATGAAAGGTATACCACCTTCTGACTCACCAACAGACCCATAAGGAGGAAAATGACAAGGATGTTTTAAAATCCAGTGGTATTGCTCTAGAAATAAACTTTAATACAGGCCATAAAGGTATATTCTAGCTTTCCCCAACTTCATCACCTCCGAATAGGTTGGAATTACATCTTCCCAGATTCACAGCCAGCACAGCCAATGACATCTCACACATTTGGAGAGCTCCCTCTTGAATCCAGAAATTACATTTTAGCCATCAAAGGCTCAGAGTGGAATCTAATGATTGACTTTTTCTGTGTTCAGAAACAATTCTCCCACCCTTGGTATTTCTTAACTTTATTTTAAAGGAAATGACTGCAGAAAATTCCTTAAATAGCAAGGAGGAGGAGAGGATCTTGTTTCTTAACTCTCGACATCTCCAGAGGTTTGGGGAATTCTCTAGAGCAGACTTTAAGTATATGTCAATTTTAATAGGGGAAGGAGAGGAGTAAAATCAAAATGGGCATCAGCCTTGTTGACAATGGATTCTAAAACCAATTTTGAAACAAATGTCATTAGCATAGGTGAATAAAAATGTGAGAAAGCAATGGAATGGTTTTAGCAGCTGTAGAAAGTAGGAGAAACTTCAGTCTTGTAAGCTCCACGGAGATATCTGTGTATTAACACACAATTTTACCTCTGACCTCTGGAGACATAGAGGAGCATGGTTACTTAAAATGAAAACTAACTTGTGGCATATGTAGCACTTCCAGCATGTATCCATATTCCTTCTTTCTTCCTTTCTTTTCTTCAGTTTCTAAGGCTATTCACTCACCAAGTGACTCTAGGCAGCTTGCAAAGGATTAGAAATGTCAACATTACAAAAAACACATTGAAAAAAAATGTTACCTAAATGTTAATTAAGAGATGGCTTTACACAGCCTCCTGGCCCAGTACACTGAGATGATATATGCTGATAAAATGATACTGACTTTCCAGCCTAAAGACAATGGTTTTAAAATGCATACAAAGAGGGAACAAATAGCTGCTAAACAACTGTATCTCTCTGCTAGATTTGCTACAATGATGTTACTGAGAAGCCAAAGTAATGAAACGGCGAAGCCATCTCCAGCAGACTGAGATCTTTTCAGTGTGCAGGTAGCTGTATAGAATGAGGACGCAATGCACAACTTTCTTCAGAAGAAGTCTTGACCAGAGAAGAATTTCTTCCAAATGTTTTATTTATAGATTTTATCAATATATTTCAAAGAAAATACATATACAGCTCCACTATCAAAAAATCTCTTTTTTGTCACCAAAGTTGTTTTATTACATTCTTACTGAGAAGAGAGCAACAATACAAATCTACTACAGACAGTCCCCTACTTGCAAACTTTCATGTTGCGAACTTTCACCTATATGAACAAGATGGACCTGGAAGTCAGAACCAGAAGTCACGAGCAGGCAGGAAAGGGTTAGTTTGTGGTGCACCACAAACTAACCTTTTCCCGCCTTCTCCCACCTTCCGTTTGCATTGGAGGTTTGCATTGGAGTTGAGTTCCCAGAAAGGGTTAGTTTATGCGGTGTGCTCCATTGCTGAGTGAGGCAGGAGAGGAAGTGGTGGCAGAGAACAAGGGAGAGGGGGTGGAGGTCTCCTGCCTTGCCCGGCAATGGAGCATGCCATGCCCCACCGGCTTGTCCTTTCCTCCCTTCTCCTCTGCTACCACCCCCTCTCCTGCCTCACCTGGCGACCCGTTGGCAGCAGAAGATAGGGCTCCTAGGCCCACACCGCTGCCCTGCCTCCTGCCTCCTTTTTAAAAAATGTTTTACTTTTTACTTGGTTGGACTTACAAACAAAATAGCCTCTTGGAACGTAACCTGTTCGCAAGTAGGGGACTGTCTGTATTAATTCCTACTCCAGCAACCAATTTCAACGTCTCTTTCTAGTGATGGCCCATGAGACTGGTAAATGTAGTAGCTTTCTACTTTTTCCTTTGGGGATTTTCCTTTACTGACTTTCTTTTCTCTTTTTTGGTTTGTTGCTATAGTACAAGCAAACTGGGGAAATGAAGTGGAACCTGACAAGATAAACATTAATTGTGCAAGTTTTCGTGTCTAAAGTATTATCCAAATTGGTGTTATACATTAATTTGTACTTCATTCAATTGTAGGATTTTAAAATTCTTTATAGCTATACAAATGATTTGTAAATGGTCCCAGATACTTTTAGAATTTATGCCATTGTTGAGATTCCAAGCTTAAAGATGTAAAGTGATTGCTTTCTTATTTTTCCTCCTTCTACAGGGTGAACTTGTTAAAATAACAATTTCTTGGAACTTCTTGTATATCCAAGCTGCGATGTCACATTTCAAAGAATGTTACTGTAGTATCTTCACATTTTGAATGATAGACATTTAATGTTATCTAGAATCCTTATCAGGTGTAAAGTAATTCCCCCTTGTAGTTTGGGGTCCTTATAGATGTGTGCATGCTTGAACTGTCTTTTGTATAAGATCTATGTAAACTTGAGGCTCTTACTCATGGCTCATCTGGTGGTAAGAGACCAGTGCTCACTGTGTCCTGCTAGCTCTGAAACAATAAAACAATCATTGGAGTCTCTCCAGCTGATACTTCTTGGGAGAGTTTTCTACCACATAAGCCTGCCACTGAATACCTCATCATCAGTGGATCTTCTCCCCAGAGCTAGACATTGTGGACTTTGTGGTCCCTTTCCCAATAATACAAATGTATATTAAATATGCACTGCTGGAAAAAAGCCCTTTCACATCAAGGCACTGAGATCCTCAGCTTTGTTACCCACTTTCCTGCTCTGCCATTTGCTTCGGCAGAAAACCAATAAGCAGAACTCTCTGGGGGTACCACCCCAATACCTTGCTCTGTGAGGTGGTCCACTGTTGGCTGAAATAGCGATGGCTACTGTAGTCAGCCAGGGAAATTCAGTTGACTATAATAGGGAGCCTTTTAAGCAATCTGCCACCCCTCTCAACTTACCATCTGAAACAAGGATCTTATAGGAAACTAATCTGAGTCGTGTGCACTGAGCATTATCACAAAGGAGAATGACATTTCTGGTATGCATGTGAGGTTCAGATACAATTCAATTCCTGCATATTGGTTCCTCTTGTATTTTGTTGACAAAACGGCCAGAAGCAAGAAGATACAACCTAATTCAAATTAAAATGAAGTATAGTGGTTATGGTACATTGTTCTTTGATACCTATTTTTATGCAGGCTCAAACAGTAAATTCCAAAATGCCTTGTAACACTTCATTGCCTCTCCACAGAGTTCTATAATGCAGAAATTCACCCTTACTGCTTGTAGTAGTATTTAGAAAGGCACTGTAGTCCTGCCTTTTTCCATGATGTGATAGAATATATTTTCTAATACTTGTTTCATAGGCTGACTGCATCACATAAAAAACTAGAGTATAATCCGAGCCCCACAAAGAGGCCAGCAAATCACCTTCCTTGATTCCCGAAGTACTGCTGTGCTATTTATGCTGCTTGAACCTCTAGTCCACATCCTCATCTTTTAAGCAGCTAATGAGTACCGGGCTCGCTGTAGCTTCTGCTTTCACGTCCTCATCTTTTAAGCAGGCAATTGCAATAGAGCTTGCTTGGGGTACTGGTTCCTTAACCCCATCCTTTAAGTAGCAAATTGCATCAAGGTTTGTTGCAACTTCAACTTCCATGCTGCCATCCTTAAAACAGCCATCTGCAATAGGGCTTTCTGGGGACTCTGGTTCCATGCCTTCATCCTTTTTGCAGCCAATTGTCATAGGGTTTGCTGGAGCTTCTTGATCCATGTCCTCATCCTTCACCGGGACTGAAAGTTGTGGGACTTCAAGCCCCACCCTTGAATCATCAGGCATTTCTTCTTTCACTTGCACAGCAACAAAGACTAGGAAACACAGAAAAAGGCTACATTCAATTACAGAATAAAAATCTAAGAGGTCTTACATAGCAGCAAAATACCAGTGATAATCTATATTCCTAAAAAGAATAGTTGCTACTCACACATGGATGAGGAAAAAGAAAAGTACAAATCAAATAAAAATATTCCTAGATTCATGTTATCATCATTCCTTCATCAATTTATCCAGAGAAACAAAATTACAGATCATGCTGTGTGACAACTACCCACGTGTTTTCAATATTTTCTTCATAGGTTTATGAAGTTTTTAAAGTAAAAATGGATATTTTCAGATTCTGCATTTTTTCACAATTGTATTTTTGCAGCAGTGCATGTTTCCAAACTGTCTACATATAAGGAAAATCAAGGTAAATATTTAAGGTGAAGGCATTTTGGAGTCATTGTTTCAAGTACTAAAGCTAATGCTAAATCCAATAGTACTTTCAAAGATTACCTAATTCCAAATAATACCTGGCAAGTTTCTTTTTAATGCTTTTCAAATCAAGAAGTGAAAGACTTTCACTAAAGTAATACTTCATCATATTACAATATTTGTGAATTGCAAGTTGCTTGTATACTGAATGCATGCTAATACTCAACCAGCCCCAACATTGTATTGATGTATGCATCAGATTGACTACTAGCTCTTACAAGTTACAGTGCAGAATGGTCCAGTCTCTTCATTTATATCTGAGCTCTATTAGAAAAATGGTGACATGGAGTCTGTAATAACTCCTTTCCAACTGATTATAGTGCCATGGACAGAATCATGGATGCAAACATCATCCAAAGATGCCCAGCTTTTCTGCTCTTGCTTTCTAATACTTCATTCCAGTTTCCTAGCTCCTGGTCCCAAGCAAAATAGAGTCAAAATTATGTGAACAACTATGTAGTGCATGCTGCACAACTAAATTAAAGCATACAAATTGAGTACATTAATTGTAGCTCATTTTTGTATGTTGATATGTCACCCACTCCCTTCATAAAACTTGGTGGCTTACCACAATATGTTAAAACATCCATAGCAGCTATTATTCAATGATATATAACAGGTAAACATATAAAAATGACAATAAAAATATTTAAAAGTCTGGTTAATAAATAGTGGCAGATCCTGCATATTTTACTGTTTTAAAACAGCTGTTTTCCTTCTGGAGACTTCGTTTTTTTACTGTATTTTAGTAATGATCTTATTGCATGCTGCCCAAAGTTATAGAGTTGGGTGGCCATAAATAAATGGCTAATAAAAAGGGTTAAAATTGGGCAAGACCAAATTTGGCTTCTTATGCAAGGGCCTTACAATTATCTCCTTTAGGGCAGCAGGGAATTACTCCTTCAAGAAGGAAGAATGAAAGATCTGGTTGACTACTGGCATGTCAGAGTTTTTAGAGGCCCTTATAAACAAAACCAGAAATAGATACAAAAACTGTATCCCTTTGTAGAGGAGATAAACAATGGAATTGACTCAGATAGATGCTATTATATATAAGTAGTCCTTGACTTACAACCATTCATTTAGCAACCATTCAAAGTCAAGACGGCACTGAAAAAAGTGATGTACAACTGGTCCTCACGCTTAACGTCTGTTGCAGCATCCCTGTGGTCACGTGATCATGATTCAGGTGTTTGGCAATTGTCATGCATTTATGACAGTTGCAGTGACCTGTGGTCACATGATACCATTTGTGACCTTCTCAGCTGGTTTCCAACAAGAAAAATCAATGGGGAAGCTGGCAGGGAAGGTTGCAAGTTGCGGTCGCGTGATGTCTTGCTTAATGATTGTGGTGATTTCCTTAACAACTGTGGCAAAAAGGTTGTAAAATTGGGCGTGGTCACATGATGCCTCACTTAATGACTGAACCACTTAACAACTAATTTTCTGGTCCCTACTGTGGTCGTATGTTGAGGACTACCTGTAGAATGATGGATGTTCTAGGTATGCTAGAGCTGAAAGTGATATGAAGCCCGGACCTGTCAAATATCAAATCCAAGTTGACTTGTCCACAAAAAGCTTCCCAAACTGACTGCAGTTATGCTCAGATAGAACAGTGTCTGACAGAGCCATTCAAACTGGATCACCCACCCAACAATCTGAAATAGCTCCTTAGATGGTTCCCAGTAGAAATCAGGGAGAACCAAAATTACTTTTTCCTGATTGCTCTTGTATAAATTTTACAATCATGCTTTTATCCTGCTTCCATTACTCAGACTCACCTCTAGAACTGCATCATAGTTGCTCAAGCTACCTGCCCTTATGCTTCATTACTTGCAACTCTTCCATGGCACATTATGGTCTCCAATATGGGATTTGATGCAGCAATTAGGAGCCACTTTATAAAGCACTTTATCCATTAACAATCAAGTCGCTAATAGGAAAGCCAGATTTGGGCAACTTCTTGTAGAGCTGCCTGAAATCCAACAAGATTCAGGAATGATGCAATCCTGAACTGTACTATTTAGTATGGCCTGAGCATGAATGTTGAAGTCCCCAACATCCAAGGCTTTATAGTCTCTAACCTCCTCACGTCCACTCAGTCAGGGACTCTGCAACAGTTATGCCAAAAGAATCCCTGTCTTCATTTAGAACAAGTTATATATCCTCAAAACCATTAATTCCCAGAGTAGGTGTCTGGAAAAGGAGATGGTATCTTTATAGACTTATCATCACATTCCCTCTTCAGCCAGATGGTCTGCATCATTTGTGTATGACATAAATAGCCATACAGCTATGGATTCTGGCACATCCTGATATTCCTCTGTAACATATACTAGATTGGTTTATTTGAATTTACGGCAATACACATAAAGAAAAAATGTTTGCACGATTGTTTTGTTTCTTGAACATAACAAAATTCATTCCATCTGTAAATATAAAGTGGAGTAGCAACCTTTGCTTCTTGCAGTCTACACAATAAGAAAACTTTCTACATCCCCAGAACAGATAATCTCCCTGTCAAGAAGAATTTAGGGGTACTTTATCTAGAGTGAGTTAAAATGTGTATGTTAGCTATTTTCCTAACACTACACCCTTCCTGCTGAAGTTTGGGAAGTGGAGAAATGAAGTACTACACCTTTTTCCTTACTTTCAGACGGTGGTTTTGATGAAGTCTTGGATTCAGTGTGTGTTGCCTCCTTCATTTTTGAAACAGTTGGTGTTCCCTCCTTTGATTTTGAAGCAGGCAATTTTTTGGTAACTTTTGTTTCTTCCTTTGTTTTTGGAACAATCACTTTCTTAGCTGCCTCCTTGATGGAACGGGTTTTAGCAGTCATCTTTTTTCCTTAGCATATTGAAGAAAAACAGTCATATATCTACCTAACAACTTTGCCAAAGACCTCACACAGCACACTTGTATCAGGGCTGTACAACTGTCAAGGGGGGAGGGGTTACTTACATCAATGTTTTTCCTTTAAAACATCTGCACATAAAAACATAGTTGTTTTTCATGGCTAACTAATCTCCTTTTTGGGGGGGAAATGTGAAGCAAGCAATGTGAAGGGAGCCCCCAACTGCAGCTGAAATGGTGCAGATGAGATATGGGTTGATTACCTCAGACTGTAACAGTCTAAATTCACAATCAGCTGTGAGACAAATGAAGCAGGTGTACTGAGCATGGAAAGGAACCAAGGATTCTTACATATGAACTAATCACACTGATGCAAATCTTACTGAAGGTCATTTTAAAATTATAATTACTAGAAATTGACACATATATTTAATGTATCTACCTGGCCAACTCAACAGAAGCATAAATAGCACAATACTATCAACTGCCTTGGGGATGTCTCTAGACATTTGGGCAGAAGATCTCTCCAAACTAGTTAAAAATACTTTTTCAGTGGGAGCAAAATGAGGCTTCAAGCATGCAAAGTTAGTGGTCCATTACTGAAAAGCAATACTCATCTTTTATACTCATAAGGACCCTGACCCAATCTGGGGCACCTACATCTATAAGAAATAAGGTTCCTACTTCTAGATCTCATTCCCAGCCTACAGGTGTTTTGTATGCTGATGGGGAGGGATAGAGACAAAGAGTAATTAATTAGTTAGCCATGACATAGGATACACATGCCACAATGTGCAAACAAAGACCATCAGAAAGGTATGAGTCATATTTAATGCATCCTATGATGTATTACTAATGTAAGCAGACTTGCAGATAAAAGCTTGATAATTTGATGTTCATTGATATGTTGCTCTTAAGCAATCAGCAGACTCCTACAGACCAAAGATGCTTTCACAACCTTGAATGGGTATTCCCCACCTAACCAAACTACATATAATTAGTGTCAATTTAGCACCAAAGCTTTTGCAGGCCTTAATTAGTATATAATTTGATATTGTCTATCAAGTACCATTGCTGCTATCAAGATGGCAGTGGAAGGGAGAAATTATTATATGACAGGGAATAAAAGAGCAGGTTCTCCTAAAAAGGAAAATAGGCAATTTGTGGCTTAAACATTTCTCAATCTAATTACAAAAAGAATCTTGGTGAACAACATAGAAAAATGTTTCATGCTGTCTGATTGTTGCTCCATCTAGCTCAGAATCAGCAGTGGGCAATGTGTGGCACTTCAAATGATACTTAAAACAGTTTTCAGCAACTCTCTCCATTGTCCATGGTAAGTTAGGAATTGTGGTTTACCAATACTTGAATGACCACCAGTTCCCCACTACTCAGCTACCCTGAAGTCCTTTTCCAAGACTTCTGACAGAAATTCTCCTACCCAGCTGGAGATACCAGAGTTTCAACATGAAGACTTATGCCTACAAAACATGTGCATCCTCATCTCCTTACAAATGGGGAAAATATAAAACTTCTACAAATCTACAGTCACAGACAGTCCTCCCAACTCTGAATTTGACTCAGAAAATGATTGCTTAACAAGCTTCACAAGAACACATAAGGGCTGTTCCTCGGGGCTGAGTTAAAGTGATATCCATCAGTCCTTCAACTGGCAAAAAACAAAAAACAAAAAGTTAAAAAATTAATTTGTTGCCTCCACTGCCAATCCTTACCCTGCCACAGGAATAATAATAGCACATGGTACTGTCCATACTTGTAGTTTACAGGGCAAATATAGAGATTGGTACCTTTTAGCTATAACAGGTATGGATTGGGGATGAGATGAAGGCAACATCATGAGGACATGGCAGAAAAAAAAAGGTTGCCAAGGCATGTTTGTGGCATGGTCAGGTTCTTACACTGGAAAAAAACACAAGCTAAAGTAAACCTTTGATTTAATGGGCCTTGGTTTATCTGACTTCAAATTTGATGGACAAATCTGCTGGATCCAGAGTGTAGAGTCAAGCAGCAAACTAGGCACTGGATGGCACAATTGCCTGATGTCCAGTCCATTGCTCACCTCTACCACCAACTCCTCTGGATCCTGGATTGGCTGATTCCATACAGCTAGGGAATTTTTCTGGTACTGGTACTCCCAGGCTCTGATCCTTAGTTTCCATGTGGCCTCTTAGCTGTGGCTCTTCTTGAGTCAATGGCTTTGCCTAGCATGCAGTTGCTGAATTTACCATCAATCTCACCATTGGTACTTGAACTGCCTCTTGCTCCTCAGCAGCAGTTCAAATTCCTTTTCTTCTCATATATGAGTATGTTTCTGGGCTTGAAAAATCCCATTTGCCTTTTAATGGACACTGAACTTTAATGCATAACCCTTTCCCTCTTTAGTTTATTAAACTAAGGGTTACTGTAATTACAAAGCAATGTATTCCAGATCCTGCTAAATACTCCCATCATTGACTGACTGAAGTTGTAGTGAATATCACACAGATAGAAATTGGCCCAGGCAAACATTCCATCTTACTTACCTTGATGCAGACTCTTGTTTTTCCTTTCAAGTCCCTGCTCTATATATATCAGTACAAATTAACAAATTTTGCCTTGTTATTAAGATGAAACAGAGACACTTGGCCAAAGTGCTTCTTACTTTTCTTTCCATAAGGTTTTCGCTTCTTCTTTGAAACCTCCTTGGCTAATGCAGGTGACTCAGGTTCTATTATCAAGAAAAGAAGAAGTCTAGAATGGTATGTTGTACAGGACGTAAGAGACAATAAGGAGCAACTAAGTATGAAGGCTACCAGATATTTCCAGGATTAGTTCCCAACTTTAGGCTTGGAACTTCTTGTGTGAGAATGTCAGAGTCTGTGGGAGAAGAATAGGGACAGGCCGCTCTATTATTATGTGTCACTGCCCAGTGTTGCTTCCTTTGCATATTTTCATTCTGAGACTTGATATATTAAATTTGTTTTGTGTTTATAGAAAGTAGCAAACAGTCTAAGGAAAGTGACACAAAGGTTAGCAGTTTCCATTAAATTACCATTTGAGCATCAGAATGCAGAAGCTCATGTCACTCTCAACCCCTCTCACTGTCCAACCTTAGGAGAGTACTTTACTAGAAACATTGTTTAAATTTAAACATTATGCACAGGATGCCACTTTCTGGAATGCTGTGAATGCCAACTTCTTTATCAGATATGTAGCTGCATCTAGCTTATTTTAGACTGAAAAGTTAATACTTCATGAAAATTAATGTCCAGGTAAACAGCTTGCAAGGAATCAAAGAGAAATCTAAGATTCAGCAGGACTGACCCTTGCTGATTTTACAGGAGAACACCACTTTGAACTGTGACCAGAAAGCCCAAGAACCATGGGGTCTACTACCCCACCTGTAGAACATGACACCATTCTATTTGAATGCAAGTTACAACTAAAGGCAAGCCAAAGTAAAAAAAAAAAAAAAAGTTTTTAATAATGTTCACATGCTTCAAGCATACCTTCTCAGCTCTCTCCTTGCATTTGGACGAAGCAAGATAGAGAGTAAGGAAGATGAAATATGCAAGTACTGTCACCAGGGCGATGTGTGTGTATGTAAAGCATATTTTAAGTCCACAACAGACAGATAATATTCGGTAGCGGCTCAAACAGATACCTCCCTAATTCACTGGAGTGTAAGAAGGCGGATGAGGTACAGCATAATCAGAATTGCAAGAATCTGTTATTATAGTCAATCTCAGTAAAAGTAGTTTTTAGCCTCTTATGGAGTTGATTTCTTGGTCTGGTCTATTTAGTGGAGCTGACACAAGATGACTGGAGGTGAAGCAGGCTCCTTCCCTTCCTCAGGATGTTGGACAGCCTCCTAGCCCTACCCAATGCAGCTATACTGGGGAGAGAGCACACTGCCATGTTGATTATGTTTGGAAAATGGCACTGGAGAGGATAACTCAAAGAACTGGAATGCTTGGGCACATTAGGGATGATGTGGCTATGGTATAGATTGTGGTGTGGCAGAGTTTATGGATTAAAACTGCATATGCTAGGGGCCCACTCAACTCCAAAGGGAGCTCCTATTAAAATGACTGCCAGCATCAGCTCCTCTTAAACTACCTTTTGGCCCTTGCTACGGTTCAAAGCTTTTACTGCAGAGTAAAAACACGGTTTGAGTTGGGCTAAAGCTTCTCTCTCTCATCCAGTAATGCAGCTGTTTATTTTTCTCACCTGGAACCACTGGTGGCTGCAGCTGGTAGCCTATCAATTCACACCAACCCACAGGATAGATATCTGGGGATTCACAGTCTACCCATTGGTCATATTCGCTGTCCCAGCCATCAAAGTGAATTCGGAGGAGCCGATTGACTACCCTTTTTACTGTTGCTACACAGATAAGTCTTGGCTCCATCAGGTCTACTGCTTCTATTTTAGCACCCACTTTGAAGCCATGGCTTGGACAATCCTGGAAAGATAAATACAAAGTCGTAATACAGATCCAAGAAAACATATACGTTTTTTAAATCTGGCAACTGAAATCCTTACAAAAAAAAGTTTGTATATTAAATTTTATTGTGGAAATGTATCAACAGGTGAGGAAAGGATAAATGTTCTAAGCATGATATATACAATGAATCAAAGAAAGAAAGAATTAAGATGCAAATATAAATATGCAATATTTCCAGAGCCCAAGTTAGAAACAGGAAACATTTCCATCAAGACCCTCTGTGAGATAAGAGGTTGTGTCTATCTAGGATCTTTTACATGCTCGTTCTAAGTAGAACATGGATTACATTTTGTATTTAATCGGCTACTTTTGATTTCCCACTTTTTTCAGAAGGACTGGTGCAGTGAGTAAAAATGGAAACCAGCATAAAGACAAGGGAAGAGTGGGATGGAATGATGGGATGTTACACAAATGCTTCCATTAAACATCATCTGTCATTTATGAGCACAGGGACTGATTTGGGGTGATACTGATGTTTTTGTCATCTTGTCCATGAATACAGTACTCACCACATTGAAAAGACGTGCTGGTGCAGATTTTGACTTAGTCTTATCTAGATAGCTTGCCCAGCTGAAGATCTTGACATCATATCCTAAAACATGAAATTGGGAGTTTTCTGGCATGAGAAAGAGGAGGGAAAAACTAACACCACCAAAAGGAGAATAAGATGAAGAATATCAGAAGATATAGTGGCAACCTGTCAGATCAATGCTTCATCCTCATAGGTATGACTGACCAAAAAAAGAACATATACAGAAAGTCCCTGGGTTAAGAATGCCCAGTTTAAGGATGACCCATAGTTAAGAATGGAGTCTATTATAGCAAAATTGGAGTTAAATACACAGTGATTTGAGTTAAATACACAATGGTTCGAGTTAATTACACAATACTACTAATACAGTATTACACAATAATACTGTTCCAGCTTACATACATATTCGAGTTAAGGACAGATCTTGGGAATGGAACTCATTCTTAAAGTGGGGACTACCTGTAATCTATAGGAGTACAAAGCAAAATAGTATTGATGATTTTTTGGATACAGATTAGCAATAATTCTGAAAATAAAATAATTATTCAAAGGAGCAAAGAGAAATGTTAGTATGAATATAAACTTTCGCATAAGCATCTCCAGAAAGTAGTGCTGTAAAGTAGTGGTGTAAAGAAAAAAAAAGAGAGAGATTCTTCTTCAGAGCAACCAGAGGACAGCAAGAGGAATCAAATCTACCAAACTAGTCCTTTCAAAAGAAAAGGATAGGAGCAGCACATCAAATTCTGTATTTGATGCAAAAAGGGGGGAAAAAACCGAACAGAAAGTCTGAAGCGGCCTTCTCCCATCTTCTGCTACTCAAACATGTTGGGAGTCTAACTCTGCCAAGTGGAAAGCCCCAGGTTAGGAAAGGCTGGCCCAATGTGACCAAAGTTTTCTTCCCACACTGTCTTGCAAAACGGAGCTGCAATCTGTGCCAATTTTACCACAAAAGCAAACTAAGAAAAAGCAAATTGGGGACCTCACCTTTTGGTGGAGTCAGCTCTATATTGTTGTTCTTACAGAAACCAGCAGGGAAAATGGAATGTAGGGACCCATGGTAGCAGAACCAGTCAGAATCACTCTCAGAAGCTGTGCCATCAATGCCAAGCATAAGATAACCATCTAAAAGGACCTAAAGACATTAGATAAGACATATTTTATTGTAGCAATTCCCAGCCTCATCAGAGACAAGTGAGGAAATCTGAAGCAGACATATAATTGGAAATGCCAAAGCCAGGTAGTTTACCATGTTATCCATCTACCCCATTTATTTTATGGAAATCTATTCTTTGCTTTTCTTCCATGGAGAAAACCAAAGAAGTTAATAAAGCCTAAGTATTTACTTTAAAACCTACTCTAAAAATACTGATTCCCCACTCAATAAAAAGAAAAACTGGGCTCCTAAATGCCTATCAAAAGAAAAATGTGTCTAAAAATGTAAATGCAAGAACAAGACAAGCATCCCTTGGGGGTGAGTTGAACAATCTCAGCACCCTTCTTTATATCCTAAAAAGTCTTATATCTCAGTTTTGTTTGGTTTACTGACTGCAGTAACATTTTACTTACACATGTCAAGGGGCAGAGTCTGGTGCACCCTAAGGTTTAAGTAACCAGAACTATTCTCCATTCCTTCCATAGCAGTTATACATTGAAAGTCTAATAATGCTTCCAGAAAGAAGGCTCTGAGAGCTACCAGTCAAAAGCCGCAGTGGAGCTAATCCATCTTTTATTCATTAAAGCATACTTTTTTCTAGAAAGGAAAAAAGCAGAAAAACCTATATGGCAACATAGGAGGGTTACAGTGGAACATGAGTGTACCTTCCTCTCCCAGTTCTAATATATGGTTCGCTCCCATTTGAATAAGGCAAAGTGATTATCTAATAAAAGTTTCCCAATTCCATGTGATCAGTGATTATATAATAAAAGCTTCCCAATTCCATCAGAGCCAAGGATGGCAAGAAGAAGGTTGGTACTGCTGTAGTCACTTTTGCTTCTTCACAATACCTTACAGACGGTAGCCACACAAATGTTGCCAGGATTCAAAGGGTCAATGGCTTCCAATTTCATGCCTTCCTCAAACCAGCCACCTGCAGGATAGACAGCACGTACCTACAACAGATGATAGGAGAAAGTAACAAATGGGAATCAAAGATCTGAATACTTACAGGGAGGTGCTGGGATTAGTGGATTGATCACTAACTCCAATTCAATGGGGCTTTAACTGCCTTAAGTTTTAATTGCTTTTCAGATAAAGTTTATTGATTGGCTTTGATCAAGCTGTTCCCTTATCATTCTGAGTCTTGTTAGATATTAAATGAGAATTAAAGTGATCAAGATCACAATTTAGTGTAGGGCTTCTGGGTGAGGACTTATGGCAGGTTAAACGTCCCTGTGAGTGTCTCCACAAGCGGGGATAGCATCATGGCGAAATTGGCAGATTCTGGCTGACAAAATTCTCTCTGGAAAGGAGAGATCGGGGGATTGCCCGTTTATGCTCTGGATAGCTACTCCTCATGAGGAGACCACAGGAATTGAGTTTCTTGTGGTCAATCGTAAGTTGAGCAGCTTGGGAGCCGAGGGAATATCAACGTGCCCAAAAGCGCTGTGTAGCCTTTATGGACATATGATCTGCAAAAAACTAACTTTCTTAAACACTTTTGGATACAATTAATTTACAACTTAAGAGAGAGATTCTGAATGGCAGGAAAGAACAAAGACACTTTGGTGAGTTGCCTTCTTTTTTGGAATTAAGAAGAAAAAAGATACTATCTTAAAAGATTTTAATTTAAAAGGCAAAAGCTTAACAAGATTGTGATTCAAGAAAGTTTTAAATGGATAAAGGAGACAGTAATTTTAGACAATAGAATAATTTTTTTTTCTGATGAAAGTGCCTTTAAAAACAGTATAATTAATCAGATAAATAGACTCGACCTTTGTGGGAATGCTGATTGTTTATTATTAAGGAAAGTAGATAATTTTGTAAAGTGGATTTTACAAAATAAGATAAGGGTAATATTTTTTTCTGACAAACTTAAAACAGAAGAAGATTCCATATAGATGGGATAAGTTGGAAGGGGTAATTTTTACTTTTAATCAGCAGAGATTTAGAAAGCAACTCTCTGCAACCCTGTGCAGAAAGCAAGAAATTTTTTGGGAAAATTTAAAGAAGAATTGGAGGACATGCAAATGGAAGTGACAATGACAGATGTGACTAAACAAATGCCACAACAGATACAACAAGACACTGAAGACAATACTGCATTGGTCGGTACAGGTATTGACTTTTCTAAAATCTTGGTGTAACTATGGATTATAATTACTTAATGTGGAATATAAATGGAGCAAATGCTCTTCAAAAGAGAAAAAAATCATTATTTAAAATGTTAAAACAAGATATAATTTGCTTACAAGAAACACATATTAGGAAAAAAGATATAAAATGTTTGAGTTACAAAAATTTGGGTGAAGAATTTATTTCGGCAGGAATGAAAAAAAAAGAAATGGAGTTTTTCTGTATATAAATCTTCAACTATATCCCAAACTTATATTGACTGATGCTCATGGCAGATATTTTGGGGTGGAAGTTAATCTGCAGGGCGCTAAGACTTTGATATTGGGAATGGATGCTCTCCATTGGAAATTGGAGAGTGGTTTGATTAGAATTGTATGTAAAACTGCTGAGAGGGATATCAGAAGCCATTTCTTTATATATATATAATTGTTTTTCACGTTTTCTGTCTTTTTATTTTCTTTCTATTTTTTCTGTTTTTTCTTTTTTCACTCTTACTTTGCTATATTTTTCTTTCCTTCTTCTTTCTTTGAATATACCTCTTATTACTATGTAAAATCTATTAATAAAAATTATTTTTTTAAAAAAGATCACAATACAGTGCAAGAGCCAACAGGATGAATCATTTCATCTGCAAATGTATCTGAAAAGGTATATTTGGTTCTCAATTTCTATCACTTTCCATATTTCTGTCTTGTTCTGAAGCTGGAACATAAAAGAAAGTGGCTGTTACTGAGGTTAACTACATTTTCTCCTGACATCCCAAACCATGTTGGGTTATTTTGGCTGT